AGAAAAATTAGATGCCTTCCTCACTATACTAATACATTCATAAACATTTAAAATCTGAACAGTATTTTAAGACCATTAGAAAAAAATAAGATAGAGGCAGAAATCCACAGATTGGATTACATAGCTACAAGCCAAGTATCAGAAACTAGAAAGAGGCAGGAAGACTCTACTTTCTTACAGTGAGCATGGTCTCAAGAATAACCTGAATTTAGACTGTTAGCCTCCAGAACTGAGACAATGCATTTGCATTTGTGCATTTGAAGAAAATACACTATAAAAATAGAATGATGGTGTAAGTAAAGAATGCATGAAGAATCTAAAGCACAAAAAAGAAAACTCTGAATCCAATAAGCATGAAAATAAGCTAAATCTCATTAAGTAATCAGGGAATAAAAACGAGAAAGTATTGGGATAGTAAGCATTAAAATCTGAAACTATAATGTAAGGAAACCGAAAAAGAATGTAGAACACAGAGCTGGGGTTGTGGCTTAGCGATAGAACACACTGGTAGTATGGAAAAGGTCTGGGTTCCATTCTCAACACCAAAATAAACTCTCCAAAAGCATAACAAAACAAAAAAACTGCCTGGCGCCAGTTGCTCACACCTGCAATCCTAGCTTCTCAGGAGGCTGACATCTGAGGATCACGGTTCAAAGCCAGCCCGGGCAGAAAGTCTGTGAGACTTTTATCCCCAATTAACCACTCAGAAAACCGTAAGTGGTGCTGTGGCTCATGCGGTCCAGCGCTCGCCTTGAGCTGAAGAACATGAGGACAGCACCCAAGCCCAGAGTTCAAGCCCCATGACCGACAAAACAAAAACAAAAACAAAAAACCCAGCAGATCACCTAGTAACTGCATTTGCAACTATAAATTTCTACCCTTGTGTGCCAAATAATTTGGTCAAATTCTAAATGAGCATTACTCTATGATCCAGCATTCCAACACCAGTTGTAAGCTAGGATAAATTATACGCATGGTCATAAATAAATAGGTATCAAATAATAAGCAAAGAACAAAATATTAAGAGTCAATTCAAGCATGTGTAAAACTGTTTTGGGGTATATAAACACATAATGAAACCAGAGCAAATTTGTTGCAGCAGCTACCTCTTATAGGAGGCAGAGGTAATAAAGGTAGGAGAAATAGATGGAAGAGGCTTAGTATTCAAGACAGTATTACAGACTTCAACATTAACATTAACTATAATTAGGTTAAATATTTTAATCTGAAGAATTAGAATACTAACATTTTCTAGAGGTAGACTTGTATCAAGTTTTACTAAAACATCCACTGTACTGTTGTTTAATTTACTATTATTACTGTTTATGATACACAGAAAGAGGCTGGTAAGAATATTCTACTCTGGTAATGAGAATAAAAGTTTGGGTGCTGCTATACTGTTTTTCAATTTTTCATAATAAGCATACATTAATTTTAGGATTGGAGAAATAATAATTCTGAATAGGGCAAAATATGTAGGTGGTTAATAAAATAAAACAAAAATGGTACTTTTAAGGTTCATAAAAACAAGATTACCAGCACACTTGCTTCAGTGTTAAAAATACTCCTTAATTTCTAAACAACCAAAACACAAACCTATTTTTTGAATTCCTAAATGTTTGCATAAAATATTAACATACCAATGGACAGAACAAGATTTCTCCTGTAAACATTACAACCTTTAACAAGAGATAAAGGACTTCATAAAAACTATTGACTACTAATAGTTTCATCATAACCTGTAATTACACAAAAATACACAGAAAATGTAAGAAATAAAGTTGATAGGTACCTCAATATGAGTTATTTTATTACAGTAATATTTTGTGAAACCCATCTCAAATTGGCAAATAATCAGAAACTACCAAAGTTTAGCACTATTCCATCAGAAAATAGTTGAAAGTTTTGTTACATGTAATGAATTTTGATCACTGCATAGTATAACCTCTCTAAACCTTGTTCCTAAACTGCAAAATGAGCACAAAAGGATGTGGAGATAAAATACAGGAAATAGCTTAACTGAAAATCTACATGTCTACTTTTTGTAAGAAACAAGGTCAGATCCAAGAACAAGCTACACCTAGCATTAGTGGGACAACTAAACTGAGTAAAGAAAGGTTTAATTGTTCACCAAGAGAAATAAAGGAACTAAATTTAGAAGATAGTAACTGAAATTTCATGAAATAAAAACAACAGAATCTCTAATAGACACGAAAAAATTTAGCCAGGCGTCAGTGGCTCACACCTGTAATCCTAGCTACTCAGGAGGCTGAGATCTGAGGATCATAGTTCAAGTCCAGCCTGGGCAGGAAAAGCAATGAAACTCTTTTCTCCAATAAACCACCAGAAAACCGGATGTGGCACTGTATCTCAAGTGGTAGAGCACTTGCCTTGAGCTGAAGAACTTAGGGACAGCACCCAGGCCCAGAGTTCAAGCCCCATGACCAAAAAATAAATAAAAATAAAAAATAAATTAAATATTGAAAATTTAAACACTGACATATGACAACAAAATAAGCCCTCCATCAAGTCCTTTTTTTTTTTTCAGTCTTGGGGCTTGAACTCAGGGCCTGTCACTATCCCTGATATTCTTTTACTCAAAGCTATCACTCTATCACTTGATCCACAGAGCCACTTCAGGCTTTTTCTGTTCATGTGATACTGAGGAATAGAAGCTAGGTCTTCATGCATGGTAGGCAAACACTCTACTACTAAGTCACTTTCCCAGCAAGTCTTAAGATGTGAACATTTGTATATTACACACACACACACACATACACACACACACACGCCTGTAAAAAAGCTAATAAAGATTGTAAACAGCCTGGTACCTGTGGCTCACACCTGTAACACTAATTACTTGGGTAGGTAAGAATGGGAAGATTGGCCAGGCACCAGTAGTCACGACTGTAATCCTACTCAGGAGGCTGAGATCTGAGAATTGTCATTTGAAATCAGTCTGGACTGGAAGTAGAGATGTGACTCAAGTGGTAGAGTGCTAGCCTTGAACAAAAGAAGCTCAAGGATAGTGCCAAGGCTCTGAGTTCAAGCAAGCCCTAGGATTGGCACCATAAAAGAGGGAGAGGGGGAGGCGTGGGGATTAAAATTTGAAGGAGGTCAGGCAAAAAGTTCATGAGACTCCCTTCTCAAGCCATGGCTGGATGAGGTAGTGCATATCAGTCATTCCAGCAACTATAAGATGTCTAAAAATAGGAAGAGTGTAGTCCAGGTATATTCCTGGCAGAAAAATCAGACTCTACCTTAAAAATAACTAGTGTGAAACAGGGTTAAAAGCTCAGTGACAGAGTACCTTAAGGCCTAAGTTTAAACTCCCTCATCAAACTGTAAACCACAATATGTAATGCACAGCTAATTAGATGGAAGATAGAAAACAAGCCCAACATGAAAACAGGAACATCAGAATGGAGAATTATGCCTCTAAATATTTTATTTTTACCACTTTATAGATATCCTAGGAGAGTCGTTTTTTTTCTTGTCTCAGCTCACAAACCAAAAAAGTGATTCAGAAACCTGGTTTACCAAGTAACCAATACAAATCAATCTATTAGTCAATAAGAGTAAGAGCCGGGCTTTCAAATCTTCAATATTGCTATATTGTTTCATAGTTAAACAATAACCACAAAATTTCAGAAGCATCTTACCAAGGTGATGTCGCGGGAAGCTGCAGCTGCGCTCATGTGCAAGCTAGGCTGTCGTACTGAACTGCTGCAGTCAAGGGCACGAGCAAATGTCCCAACAGCACTGAATAAACCAAACACAAAAAAATTAGCCTGCCATTTCTTTGTCTTAAAAAAAACTTGGGTAGTGAATGAGAAAAATTATTTTTAAAAATTTAAGAAGTCATTGGATATTAGAGAATCAAGAATCAACTAAAAAGTATCTTTCTTTTTGCCTCTATAAAAAGATTTAAATACAGGTGGAACACTCCTATCTAAATATCGAAAAAGTTCCAAAACTTGAAACTTTGAGCACTGATATGACTAATACAAGTGGAAAATTCTGTACTATGATACTTTGTTTCATAAACAATTATTGCTTAAAATTACTTTTGATCTCCACATACAATCTGTACACATAAGTGAATAATTTTGCATTTAGACTTAGGACCCATTGTTAAGTCATACCTCATTATAAATACATATACATACATTCCTAAATTTAAAAAAAAATTCTCATTCCAAGCATTTCAGATAAAGGATATTAGCCTGCAATTGACAAACCATTTTACTATATATAACTGTAATTCAGTCAAGAAAATTAGCCTGTATGGACATAAAGAAGAAATAAAATGCGATGGTGTAAATAATTTGATATTCAAATTTGTTTTTTTTTTTAAGTAAATCAGTTACATGGTGACTACTATCACAAAGCAAGTTCCAACCACTTTTTTTTTCTTCCAGTCATGGGGCTTGAACTCTGGGCCTGGGCACTGTCCTTCAGCTCTTCGGCTCAAGGCTAGTGCTCTACCACTTGAGCCACAGTATCAATTTTGGTTTTCTGGTGGTTTACTGGAGATAAGAGTCTCATGGACTTTCCTGCCCAGGCTGACTCTGAACCTCCATCCTCAGATCTCAGCCTCCTGAGTAGCTAGGATTACAGGCTTGACCTTCCGGCACCAGCTCTGACTACTTTTGAACTAACTGTAGAAATCCTTTCCTATGAGTACTATAATATTTAATTAATTTCTACTAAATCCTATTTTTAAAAAAAGTCCACAGTGCTGATTTTCATGTATGATTCAGAGAGCTTTTCTATATGTAAAGGAGTTTTGGGGCTGGGAATATGGCTTAGTGCTTGCCTAGCATGCATGAAGCCCTGGGTTAGACTCCTCAGTACCACATAAACAGAAAAAGCCAGAAGCAGTGTTGTGGCTCAAGTGGTGGAGTGCTAGTCTTGAGCAAAAGAAGCTCAGGGACAGTGCCCAGACACTGAGTTCAAGCCCCAGGACTGGTACAAAAAAAGAGGCTTAACTTCAAGAGGTACAGAATGAGATGAAGTTGAGACTTAAGACTGTCTGCCAGTATTTTTAAACATTAGCTAAGGAAAAGATTGTTCAAACATTTTAATTAAAATATGACACATATGTAAAAACTACCACAATGCACAGCTACTTACTTATCACAGTGAATGTACTTAGGTTCTAACCAACAATGAGGTACAAAAAAGAAAAGATACCAATCCCTCCCACATTATTCCCAATTCCTGCTTCCCAAAGGAACCATGATCCCGGATCCTAACACCACAGGTAAGTTTTGCTCATATGAAATCACACAGTACGGACACACTGTGTTATTTTCAGACAGGATCCACTATAGCCCAGGTTAGGCCAGAAACTCACTCTGTGGTCTAGGCTGCCCTCAAACTCATGATACTCCTACCTCAGCTTCCTGAGTGCTGGGATTTCAGATGTGTGACATCATCAAATTGTCAGCCAGAGCTGTACTCATCTATTTTCCTTATGATGGAGTGTTCTTTTTTATTTCCTATGCCCACCTCTGCTCACTGTTAATCAACAGTAGGTGCTGTTTAAAATTTGGCGCTACTATGAATGGTAGCACTAATGTCACTTGTTTATATCCTTTAGTACACAGGTGTACTAAATACACAGGTGTATGCTTTTCTGTCAGGTGAAGTTTAAGGGATGTGGCATTAGATAGCATAGTCTTCTAAAGCAGTTGTAACAGTTCCATGTCTTTGCTAATTCTTGGCATTTGAAAACTGGGCCTTAAGAAGTGTAGGCATGGCTCAAGTGGTAGAGAACCATCCTGGAACAAAAAAGCCAAGTAAGACTGAGGACTTGAGTTTAAGCCCCAATACATGCACAAAAACAAAAAACAAAAACCACCATAAATTGAGCCTTAGTTTGCATTCAGATTACTTTTTTATGCCAGGTGCCAATAGCTCAAGTCTGTAATCTTACTACTCAAAAGGCTGAGATCTGAGAATCATGGTTTGAAGCCAGTCAGGTCGGGAAAGTCTGTGAAACTCCCATCTCTGATTAAGCACAAAAAACCAGAAGTGGAGCTGTAGTACAAATCATATAGCACTATCTTTGAGCACAAAAGCTCAACGACAGTGCTCAGGCCCAGAGTTCAAACCCGAGGACTGGCACACACACAAAAAGATAGTACAGATATATAATTCCTTAGTGACCCTTTTTCTGACTTCCAAGAAAAAGAAATATAGCTCAGCTCATGGCAATTGTAAAAGTAATAAAACAAAGTGCAAATCAAATATAAAAGTGCTGTGTCTTTTCATATACTTTCTCTGGAATTTTCCCACTGACTTTGTTTCCTAATAACGTACATTAAATGCTTTAATCCAATCATTTAAAGAAATAAGGGTTCTGTATTCCAAATACTGTGTTACTTTCCTTGATGACTATCTCTAAGAACAGTGCTGCCAACGGATGAGCTAAGACTGTTTTTCTTTTGTATTATGAACAAAGTGCAACAGAAAATATTATATCTGATTCTAGTCTTCTGCCATGTCTGATTCCTTCAAGGAAATAAATTTATTAGAGTCATCTAGACCTACCCTCAAATCCAATAGGTATATTTATATCCATTAATGTGTAATATATATAAAACCATTTGTGAAATGTAATATATTGTACATTATACAATTTTTTAAAAATGATCACACTGTATACATAGGAATGATCAAACTGTATGTCCTTCATTCAACATTACTTTTGAGATTTATCTCTTTGCTACATACAGTTCTAATTCATTCATTTTAATTGCTAAAAAGTAATAGTACATTGTATGAATATACCTTTATTCATTTATCATTTTTTGCTGATGTTCGCTCAGGATTTTCCCCAATTTATCTACTATTCCAATGTCATGATAATCTTATTCACTTTCTGCTTTGTGGCAATTTTCCATGAGCACCATTTGTTCTCATAATTACAATAACAAAATTTTTACCCCATTCACTTTCTTGAGCAAAGAGCCAAGGGGAAAAGCAAGCCAGTCAGGCTGACAGCCTTGTGTGCACAAAGGCCCTCCTCATGCACTATGAGGAACCTGAGAGGCATACTTCTACTGGTACCTGGATAATCTAATCTAGAGGAAAGTCACATAAAATAGTTGCTTTCATTAAACATCAAAAATTCAGTTGTGAGATTTCTTCTTTACACTATTGTTTTCTTAACCAGTGAAAATTAATAAACTTATTTTCATTTAGTACAGGAAATGATAGTAATCATACTATTTAGGAAGCAGTGGCATATATTAAGCTTTCTTATATGACTAGAAAAATAATAATATAACCAACAAGAAAAAAGTAGAATGCAAAGGAAGGAAAATATCTGAACTACAAATTATTTTGAGAAGAAAAGGTATTCCTTGCCTCAATAATGCCATACTCACCGAGCTACAACTAAAAACTGGTCAATCTGCCGATCTGTGAGTGGACTATTGGGATCCCACACCTTAACTTCCAGTTTTGACTGTTCCCTTTCATCTGAGTCTCCTGCCCAAGAACAAAGAAAATGGAATGTTGTTACTAACAAAACCCACTGTACCATATGGTTGATGACTACAGTCACTCATTATACTTTAGGAATATTCACATGTAAAGTGAATGCTCAGTTTTAGTACATTATTTCAGATGGCAAATATACATGCAACACCTTGTAAAGTGAGTAATACACCAGGCCAACCACACAGTATCAGCATTAAGATCCACTTCCTGAATACCTATATGTGTGAGGCAGTAAGCCCCATACTAAGGAATACAGCCATGAAATGAGAACCTCTCTAACATAAGCTGCTTCAACTATGATAAACCATATGTATAAATATCTATAATACAAACAAAGCAAAGATTTATGAGCTATAACTATGGCTGTAAGAATTTGAAAACAAAACTTTTCAGGCTACCTAGGAAACAATGTCATGAAGGAGTTAATATTTCTGCTAAGAACTGAAAGGCACAATATACACTAATAGAAGAGAGAATTCAAAAATAAGAACATGAAAAGGTCATGGGGTATTGAAATGTGGTAGAGAGAAAAAAACACTCATTTTGTCTAGATACTAGAGGCAATGAGAATACATGACTAAGGGAAGGGAGCTGGGAGAAGGGAGAGAAAGGAACTACAGGAAGGGAGAAAGGGAGAGAGGGAGGGAGGGAGGCAATAAGGAGATAAAGGCCAAGGCAAAGACTCACTAAAATGCAGGATACTTTATTTAGAATATCTCACAAGGAATTATAACTACTTTCTAGAACTGAATACAGGACAAAGGATAGTAATGGAAAACAGGTTTGAGAATCAATCAAAATTTTGTTTTGTACCCATAGATTCTACTAGGCTAGGAATTCTTTGATGACAAAGACTGATTTTGAGCCCTGTATCTGTAAATATCAGGCAGTGTGCCTTACACTTACTGTTATCACACTCTGAAACCAAAAATTCCTTGATGACTGATAAATTCCAGCAATGAGACTCAGAGCATAGGAACAAATAGATATCAGTGGATGGGAAAAAGAATCAGGTGTTGCTTTGCCAGCAGCCTCCTAAGTCAGCCAACTATAGTCAGTTTGTGGACTAGTTCAGAGGCAGATAACAAGAGGACTAACTGCCACTCCCAACACAAAATAGCACAAGCAGAGTATAGCTAATGGTTTGCTAATCAAAAGAATTTGCAAGAATTTTATTTTTTATAGCTTTTGTTTACAATTCTCAGCATGCTAAAAGCCCAGGCACTTGACATTAGCTACATTTTTTTTTGGTCGGTTGTGGGGCTTGAACTCTGGGCCTGTGAACTGTTCCTCAGCTCTTCTGCTCAAGGTGAGCACTCTACCACTTAAGCCACAGCGTCACTTCAGGTTTTCTGGTAGTTAGTTGGAGATAGAGTCTAATGGACTTTTTCTGCCCTGGCTGGCTTTGAACAGTGATCCTCAGATCTCAGCCTCCTGAGTAGCTAGGATTAAAGGCATGAGCCACCAGCACCTGTCTCATTAACTACATTTTTTTTGTTTGTTGTTGTTGGTTGTAGGGCTTGAACTCTGGGTTTGGGCGCTGTCCCTCTACTCTTCAGCTCAAGGCTAGTGCTCTACCACTTGAGCCACAGCGCCGCTTCCGGTTTTCTAGTGGTTTATTGGAGATAAAAGTCTCACGGACTTTCCTGCCTGGGATGGCTTTGAACCTCGATCCTGAGATCTCAGCCTCCTGAGTAGCTAGGATTGCAGGCATAAGCCACCAGCGCCCAGCATTAACTACATTTTTAAGACCAGGTTTTTGTTATTGGTGGTGGTGGTGGTGGTGGTGGTATGTGTGTGTGTGTGTGAGTGTGCCAACAGTGGGGCTTGAACTCAGGGGCTCAAGCTCTCCCTTGTTGTTGTGTTTGGTTTTTTTCATTTTTTGATTTCTGGGTTTCTTTTGTTCAAGGCCAGTTTTCTACCACATGAGCTATACCTTCAGATTCTAAGAATATTTTTTAGTGCTGTAAACTGTACAAAACTTGAAGATAAGAAAATATGAATTACACTTTTCCAAATCTTAAAAAAAAACCTGGTTTAATTTTATGTAAGATGGTAATGGTTTTTCCCATTATATCAAAACAGTGATAGCAAAAACAAATGTACTGAGAGCACTTGCCTGCCAAGTACAAGGCCCTGAGTTTGGCCCTCAGCACTGCAAAAATAAATAAAATAAATAAATGTACCTGTTTAAATAATACTGATGAGGTGGTACTTTTCAGTATTAAACTGTCTGTTGCAGTCTGCAAAACGTAAAAGTAAGACTGATATTTGCTATTCAAATTTGAGTTAGCTAATTTGAAATTTTTCAATTTAATTCATGGATTCTACAAGCAGACAGTACAAAAAGAATTCATTCCAAACAATAACAAAATACTCTTGGATACTCTTATATCAAAAACAGGACAATACCCCCCCCAAATAAAAACAACCACAAAAGGATACAGAAATGTTCTATATCAAATAGTCACTATAGATTAAATTGCAATTAAAATTTTGGATTCAACAAATAATTATATTCATATCACAGTTTTATCACCATACCACAGGGGGGAAACTTTTTAAGATCTTGAATAAGCTTACTTAGTATCTGCATAAATTTTCAGCTAACTTCTAGAGATCTTGGGTATGGTACATATCCCACAGTCTGGTCACATTCTTCCAGTCACTGTAATACTCTTACCTCACTCCTCTACTTTTGACAAAATGGGCAATTATAATCTGCTTGGGTTCCATATAATCAAATAGCCAAACCCATGAAGGTCTCCCTAACCCCTGAATTCCCACAAATTAATTTATCAACAAATTATACAATTGTGTATATCTTCTATTTTTGTTTTTGAAAAATTAAGAAATGAAGATCCAGAAATAATTTTAAATGTTAAAATTTTCCACTCATATATTAAGATTCCTGTAAAATACTGTTAAAGTACTTCTTCGATATATCCCTTACAGGCACCTAATGGTACTAGCATAATCTGAAGAACTAAGGCTATATCACATTGTCCTTTTCCCAGACAACTGGTAATATTCTTTGTCCCAAATAAAATTCACTTCCTTTGTACCAAGTATCACAGTGCTGTGTGTGTGTATATGTGTATGCTGGACCTGGAGCTTGGACTCAAGAACTGGGCACTGTCCCTTTATTGCTCTCTATCACTTGAGCCACATCTCTATTTCCGGCTTTTTGGTGACTAATTGGAGCTAAGATTCTCAAGGTCCTTCCTGCCTGTGCTCACTTCAAACAACAATCCTCAGATCTCAGCCTCCAGAGAAGCTAGGATTACACAGGTGTGAGCCACCAGCATCTAGCAATACTCTCTCTCTCTCTCTCTCTCTCTCTCCCCACCCCGCCTCCAATCCTGGGGCTTGAACTCAGGGCCTGGGCACTATGTTTGAGCTTCTTTTGCTCAAGATTAGCCCTCTACCATATTTGTGCCACAGTGCCACTTCTAGCTTTTTTTGAGCAGTTTCTTGGAGATAAAGAGTTTCACAGACTTTCTTGCCCAGGTTTGTTCAGAACCATGACCTTCCTGAGTAGCTAGGATTACAGGCATGACCCATGGGCATCTGGCCTAGCAATACTTTTAATGCTACATTTAATTCACATATACAAGGATGGCCTTGGTCACTAATTTTGCTAAATAGTGTTTTAAAAGTTCTGGCCAGGGGCTGGGAAGGTAGCTCAGTGGTAGAGCGCTTGCCTTGCATGCATGAGGCCCTGGGTTCCATTCCTCAGCACCACATAAGCAAAAAGAAAAAAGCCGGAAGTGGTGCTGTGGCTCAAGTGGTAGAGTGCTAGCCTTGAGCTGAAGAACTGAGGAACAGTGCCCAGGCCCAGAGTTCAGGCCCCATGACCGGACCCAAAAAATAAAATAAAATAAAAGTTCTGACCAATGTGATAAAATACGAGTCAATAAAATTAAGATACCCTCATTTGTCAGCCTATTATCTTTTTCCTAGTGCTTAAAATACCTTCTCCCTCTGTCATTCAGTTTATATCCTATGAGATCAGAATTTCATCTGTCCTACCCTTTACTCTGCCTTTCTTTTAACCAGAGTGTAATCAATCTTTACCATTTCATTTTATATTATTTTTTAGGATTCCCAGACTTTATACACATCTTCACAGTAGAAAATTTCATGTTTTGATACATACTATAATACTCCAAACAAGAATCGTGTTTGCCACAGAAGAGATAAAGAATGTGTGCAAGAAGTGAACAAGGGAAGCTTGTGAGTTAGGTTGGATATGTAGCATAGTTGTAGAGCGTTTACCTAGCTTGACTAAGACCCTCAGTTCAATCCCTATCATTGCAATATATAAGTTTCACATATAAATCACATATTAATATATCATATATTATATATATAGTATGTGTGTATGAATGTATGAATTGAAATAAAGAAGAGAATGAGGTAGTTGCATTTGAAAAAAAAAAATCAAGCCAAAGCAATAATAGGTTACTAGAATGGTATCATAAAAATAAGTATTAGGTCAGGTGCTAGTGGCTCACACTTCTAATCCTCGCTACTCAGGAGGCTGAAATCTGAGAACTGAAATTCAAAACCAGCCTGGTCAAGAAAGTACATGAGACTCTTATCTCCAATTAACCCCCAGAAACCCAGAAATGGCACTGTGGCTCAAGTGGTAGAGCACTCACCTTGAGCTGAAAAGCTCAGTGCCAAGGCCCCAGAGTTCAAGCCCCATGACTGAATTAAAAAAAAAGTATTAGGGGCTGGGGCTGGGAAATGTGGCTTAGTGGTAGAGTGCTTGCCTAGCATGCATGAAGCCCTGGGTTTGATTCCTCAGTACCACATAAACAGAAAAAAGCTGAAAGTGGTGCTGCAACTCAAGTGGTAGAGCACAACACTAGCCATGAGCACAGGGAGGCTGAGGAACAGTGTCTAGGTCCTGAGTTCAAGCTCCAGGACAAGCAAAAAAAAAAAGGCATTAAGAAAACTAATTAGAAAATCATAAGTTAACA